ATAAAGTAACATAAAAATAATTAAATAATATATGTATATTTTAATGTAAATATATAAAATAAAACAAAATTAATAAAATATAAATATATAATTAATTGAGTTAATATTTAAAAAAAAAATCATGAGTTCAATTTCCAAACAATCAAAACTTCGTATTAAGGGGGTGCCATTAGCACTCCCCAATCCAATTGATCAAAAGAATAAAAAGTATTATCTTGTGAATCACATGTTAAGATAATAATTTTAATTAATTGTAGTGGGGGATCAGTAAAATAAATATATAGATACTTTATTTTATAAAAAAAGCATACATCATTATGCTTATTTATAATATATGCCATTAATTAATTACTACAAATAATTAAATGACAACAAAATATGCTTATAAAGCAGGGACATATCGCAATTTTTTTAAATGATTACATCATTTAATTATTAGAAATAACTATAGGAAAAAAAATTCAAACGGTACCATAAGAAACAAATATACAATTTTTTTTTAATCTGTGACACCATTTAACTAAGAAAATAACACTAACACGATTAAAATTTGAGTCTGAAATGGAATAAAAAACTTGTAAACCAACTCTACCTAATAAAACTTGTTCTCATTGTAGTTTCAAAGTACATTATAGGGTGACACACAACGGATTAATACGGTTGCACCTTTCACGAACCTAAATTTTTTTACCCTTCAACGGAGGAATAATACGGTGGCACGTGCCACCATAACCACCAAAGTAGGTCCGTCCCTGGCTTAAAGAATCGTAGAAATTTTTACTTCACGATATTATTTCACGTGGTTTTTTAAAGTTAGAATTAATGATTATATTGATTAATATATATTTGTTTTATAATGCAATTTTTTTAATATGTATTTATTGTTTCATAACACATAAAAAAATATTATGAAACAAATATATATCAATCCATAATTTAAATCATAGTTCTATATGGAACAAAATTAAGTGAAATAACAATTCGTTAAGGAAACTCATGACTCATAACTATTGTGATCAAATCTCGAGGCACACATTTACGCAATTCAGTTACAAAGCAACTATTTTACAATCTCAAAATATAAGAGGGCCATAAATTGATTGGATTCCCGAAAAGGATCTATACGTTTTCTCTAAAATGTCTCTTCTTAATTAAAGGGCTTATTCTGGAATCTGATGATGTTATGGGTGGATGGTTACATGGTGAAGCATGAGCTTAAAGCCAACTCAAGATCCAAATCTTTACAGGTCTGCTTCGAGCCCACATTGGATAATGAAGAAACGATCGTCCTTCTTGACTTATGTACATGCTTAAATGACTGTAGATCATCATCGTATGAACCAAAACTAAACTTTGGTTCATGATGATCAAACTCACAATCATTATAACCATGAAAACTGATGTCAATTCCATGATTATTTATATTTTGGACATATGATTGGAGGTAATAACCGATACTCGCTTTTCTAGCTTCTAACATCAGCCTTTTCTTCTTCATACGTTCTCTTTTATGCGCATTCTGGTGACCACCCAAGGCTTGTGAGTTCATAAACCCTTTGAAACAATACTGACACTTGAACTTCTTCTTCGTTTCCTTCAGATCCACCATGGAAGACTTCTCTTTCTCTGAGGAGATAGTGGTGGATGGTGAATGCATTCTTCCATCCTTTTCACCCAACCCTGCTTCGCTTAGCAGCGAGCCATTGGTTTGAGGATCAAGCTCGAACCCAAATAATCTGATCTTCTTATCTGTTGATGTTGATTCATATCGAGCATGCATATCTTCTCCTTCCCACGTTGATGAAAGAAAATCAAACACAACTTTGCCCATCTCTATAGGTATCTTGGAAACAATATGATATATGCTTTTAGAATGATGTAACAAATGGAGCACCATCCTCTCCCTTTTATAGCGTCCCCAACAGTAATAAACTAAAAAAATGCTCTGCAATCTTTCTTGCGTCATATAGTATATAGATTCATGTGCTATATGTATATTTAAAAACAATATAAAGATGTTCAATAGTTTCAAAATAAATTATTAAAACTCATTCAAAATAGTATAAACTTCACGACTTCATATCCTTTGGTATTGATGAGTGAATTAGTAGGAATATGTCAAACAATAGTTATTTGTTTTTCAAGAAAAATATTAACAGTAACAACCCGTCTCACATAGATAGATAATTGGACTTGTGAGCTCTTTATAAACTCAAAATTGTGGATTATTAATAACTTTTATCATAGTCTTAAGTCTAACCAGAAGTGATTAAGGGGTTGTTTGTTTACCTCTTAATAGTTCCATTAAGAAGCAACATTTGAATCGTTAAGAGGTGAATCTTGTTTGACAAAAAAAAATCTGTCTCTTAATGGTTCTAAAACCCCTTGAATGATTTTGTATCATGGATCTTCCTTAACCATTAAGAGCCCTAATTTCATTGTACACAATTACCAAATAATTATATTTCATTTTGCACTATATTAATCATTCAGCAATTGCCAAACAGCCCCTAAACTAGCCTGTCTCTTTGGGCTTAATAGTGGGATGTTACCCATCACGAGAGTTTCGCTCTAGTGGTTGAAACTTATTCATGATAACTTAAAAATCTCGATTTCCTATCTTACATAACGTAAAGTTTTTTTTCAAAATAGTTTTTACGCATTCTGAAATATTAAAAAAATCAATTATTATACAAATTTTTTCATTAAAGTAAAACAAATATTCAAAATCTATATGCTTAAAGTTGGAGACATGTTTTCTTAGTATTATATCAAATACTAAAAGTCAAAGAAAGAAAGTGATGCAATCAGGTGGGGATAAGTTGAGCAAAATCTAGCACAATGTTCTTTTATATATTATACTTTGCTTGACCATTGATGGATTAATTCATTATAATATAATCCAAAAATTGTTTGTTTATTGACGAATGCTTAATAAATTCATAATTAAATGCAGGATTCACGAATCAAATCTTTACAAAATCTTGAAAAAACCAAAAAGATTGGAACGTGGTTTTTTGGAATATGAGATTTTCGATAGTTAATTAGGTTTTAATGGTTTAATTTCGTTTATATATTATATGCAAACAAATGTCACATGTAAATATTGATCAAATTTCCTTTTTATGAATTTAGACTTAAAAGAGACCACACCTCAAGATGAAAAAGGGGTTTGTTAACCATAAAGGTGGTGTCTGATTGGTTTGATCTTGAATCCAAAGGTCAAAAGTATCTGGAGGTCTCAGGTTCAAGTCCAAGGAGGAATAAAAATCCCCTTCTGGCCACAGAGGTTCAAATGCGATGACTTTGAGCTATCTGCAAAGCAGGTGGTCGTCATGGGATTAGTCGGCTCACATAGCGAGTTGGATATTCAAGTTAATAAAAAAAGGGTTTTGTTGATAAGGGAAATCAAAGGTTGTTCTTGGTTACATCGTCGACCTTTCCAACTGGTCGGTCATTTAGAACATTTGATTAACGTTAATTTAGAAGATTAGTCAAATTTTGATTCAAGAAAACCCATTTTGTTTGGTATTTAATTGTATAAGTCATGACTTAACGTTCAAATGATATGTTAAAAAGTTTGATCTCTATAAGTTTTTTTTTATTAACCTGGATATCCAACCCATTATGTGAGCCGACTAATCTCAGGACGACCACCTATTTTGCAGATAGCCCGGAGTCACCGCATTTGAATCTCCGTGGCCACAAGGGGATTTTTATTATTCCTTGGATTTGAACCTGATACCTCCTAGTACTTTTGACATTTGGAGTCAAGCTCAAACCAATCAGACACCACCCTTGTGGTTAAATCTCTATAAGTTCTAATCAATGTACATATACAAACTATAAATATCATACTTACATATTTTTAGTAAGAATGTTTTTTAATAAGAAATCATGATATATTTCCTTATTACACTACAACAATTAAAATCGGTTTTTTAGGACACTCCTAAATTCTAAATGTCCTAATAGACCTCTTTATAGGACTTAGTTTATAGGACCAAAAAAATAAAGTATTCTATCTAAAGGTGTTGTAATAAGTTTATATGACGTTTTTTGATGTCGTAATAAGTTTTTTAGGACACTTTTAATATAAAGTGTCTCATTATCAATTTTATAAAACACTATTTGAAAAACTGTTCTATAAAAACAAATGTCCTATAAAAAATTAAGTTTATAGGACACTTTCTCAAAAGTGTCTTATAAAATTGATAATAAGACGTTTTATATTAAAAGTATCTTAAAAAACTTTACGACGTAACGTCATATAAACTTATTACAACACATTTCGATAAGACGCTTTATTTTTTATAAAGAGGTCTATTAGGACACTTAGGATTTGGAAGTATTCTATAAAACTGATTTTGTTGTTGTGTTAAAGAATTTATTATATCAAAACGTAAAGAATTGTGGGTATTGTAATATATACATAGAATTATACAAAATATTATCAAATTTATTATAAATATAAATAACTCAAGGGTGGTGATGAGTCCCATCATGAATAGAACTCATATTCATGTTCAATGTCTTTAGGATTAAATATTATGTCTATATATATTCAATAAAAGAGGAAATATATAAGATATAAATCCAAATTATGAAAAACCAAAAGTACCATATTTAATTATTTATATAAAGATTGACGTTCTTCTAATTTTTTTAATCAAAATAAATAAATAAAAAATTCAATTTGGACATGTTTAGATGATGGTTTAAATATATGAATGATAGTAGTTGCTATCAAGAAGGGAAGAGTGATGAGAACATATTTTATTACATATATATATATGGTTGTTTTTTAAAATCTGGATTGATAAGTTTGTCGGGTTGGTTTAAATAAAAAAATTAAATATTATAATAAATTAAAAAGTAAGAAGGAAAATTTTATATGTGAATTATTTAAAAAATCTATTTGAATATGCATATTTGAACTTATATGAATAATTTGTGAAACAGGTTCACATATGTATCAAATAGATTTTTTCAATTATTTACATATGAGCATTCCCATAACCTTTCATTCTTATTTTCTCACAGTATTTAACCTTCTTATTTGAACCTCCCATTTTGTTTTCTCTCTCTCTCTCTCTCTCTCTCTCACACACACACACACACACACACACACGTGTGTGTGTATATATATATATATATATATATAAAAATTCACACGAGAAACTATTTAAACGAGAACATTTTCATTTTACGCAAACACGATAACATCGTTCTATTATAGACCATCACATTGGATAATGTAGTGCATCACATGTGATATTAGATCAAGGATGTAGATAACTTATATTGCTTGCACACCTCTCATAAGGGTGTATTCTCATAGTTGAAACATACAATCATCACATGTAATAGTGTATGAGGATGAAATAATATGAGGGAAACTTGTCCCACAACCTAGGTCATGGCCAAGGTCGCACCTGTCCTTCATGTGTTTTCACAGTTTATCACATGTACTGGTTGCATGTTTTAGGTGTTCTCACGTTTTTCGTGAAATGATACCATTCTTGTTTGAACCATTCCCTATGCACATATACGCAACAACCCGCATGTTCACATAACAAGAGACACATAATGTACATAAATCAACCATATAGAGTTTATATATTTGGCCCAAACATATCAAAAATATACAATCATCTGAAATACTGTACAAACTTTTTTGGTAACAAAGTCTTAATACAAAAGAGTTATAGACTATGATACTACAAGATACATATAATCAGATGATCACAAAGCTTCAAAAGTTTATTCAGCAAGCCTCACATAACAATTCGACAAGTAAGATCACAATTTCCCTTTCTTTTATCAGTAATATGTAACTGCCTTGAAATGCACAATTTGAAAAACAGAATGAGGGTTAGACCGAACGGTCTAGTAAAGAACTCCTTGTCAATTCAACAATTTCATATAAACCTATTGATATAAAACACTTAAATCTGTTAGTCATAAAGTAGGCCTGTAAGCTCTAAATCCCTCCTAGGAAACTAGCCACAATAGTCGCCAGTTGAAAACAAGCACACCCCAATAAGACCGCAACCTATATCAGCAGTGGCTCACCACACGAAACATATTCGTGGGAAAATTATGTAAATTCCCCCTGCATGGACATGACAATTAATCCTGATGCATACGGGCTTCTGTTGTGCAAGTCCCTATAACCCAAGAATCCATGGTTACATCACATGTGTTAGTTTCCAACATGTATCCAAAACCGTATCATAGTTAACGACAATAATCCAAATATACCAAACATGTATAACATTGAAATAACAGTCATTTGATGGTATATGCATTTCAGTTCGAAAAGGATTATAAGAAAATTGATCTTGTCACGATAAACGAAGGTATAAGTTTTAATTGAATCAAAGGATCGAAACTGAATCACGAAACTCAAGCCAAACACTTGAATATGAATAATGTAAGCATGATTACGATCTAGATGAACAAATCTATTCCATAACTCTTAACAGTACCTGAGGACCCTAAACAATACCCCGAAAGACCCTAAAACGACATGAAGGAAAAATTGAAAATTGCAAAACAAAAGGAAATGCAAGTCCAGTGCGACCAAAGTCGCATGGAGGTTGCTTTCTTCATTGGATGCGATTTCCAGGTCTATTTTTACCAGATTTCAAACGAATCCAAAAACCATTGTTCAAACCCAATAATAATTAATCAATCAGAATACCAATTCCAACTAATGAAGTTACTCAAAGAAACATTCAAAACCAAACTCCCAACCGCAAACTCAAAGATACATCGAAATCCACTGATATATTTCAAGTATTTTATGATCCAAATATTATAACTTGA